TTCATTTCGAACTGGAATTACGAGACCGCCGATGGATCCAATTGGATCATTTTTCGGGTGTGCGACGGTGTCTCGGATCCTATATTTGTTTTGCGCGGATGAAATTGCCAGTGTGGAAGAGAATGGATCCATCGATGTGCTGTGCAAATATACATACGAATAATAACATGAATCATCGTAGTAATGTATGGAGAATACTAAGACGAATACGAATGATAATAATAGTAATGCTAATGATAACAACAATGAGGATAAGAAAACTAATGATACGAATAATGATCAGAATAATAATACCAATAATCATAATAACAGTATTAATAATAATAATAATGATAATAATAATAATAAGAAGAAGAAGAAGAAGAAACATATTAATAATAATACTATAATAAGAGCACTAATAATAATAACCATCCCTGGTCCTGGGGATATGGAATCCACGGGGCACCGCACGTGAAGCATCATGCTATCCACGGAACTGTGGATCTGCTGACCAAAGCTATGATTCTACGGGGGAAAGGGAGGACTTTCCAGGACGGAATGAAGTTTGGGGAAATTGGACGCGCGGGACACCTCACGTGAAACATCATGCTGTCCACGGAACTGCGGATGTGCTGATCGAAGATATTATCCTACGGGGGAAAGGGCGGTGTTTCCAAGACGGAAATAAGGTTGGGGAAGTAGGGTCCGCGGGGCACCGCACGTAAAGCATCATGATATCCACGGAACTGTGGATCTGCCGACCCAAGCTATGATCTACGGGGGAAAAAGGTCTTTCCAGGACGGAGATAAGGTTGTTCGAACGCCACAGCGGGCCCAGCCAACTCCCGCAACTCCTCCCATAACAGATGGAACGCCCCAAGCCGAAGAGAGCGCTACATGTATCCGCTCACCTGAAGGGTACGTCGCTTCTGACATGTGAGGCTCAACAGGGAAATCTCTCGGCCTGCGTAAGTAGGTGCCTGTATGTTCCTCACCACAACGTTTGAAGAATTATGCCCGCGCGCACCGTGCTGAAACCATTGGAAAAGACATGAACGTTTAGCAATCTCGCCCAGAACCTGTATCATCACCTCATCACGCGGAGCACCGGCGTCATCTACTTGACATCGCTCGGACGTCCATTCCTCGTGTGTATGTGTGAGTGCGTCGACTTCGCGCCACATGTTTTTGTTTCGCAAGATGATCCGAGATGTTCCCCAGTGGAGGGGAAACGACAGGGGGGGACCGTCATGGGGGGGGATGCATCGACCTGGAATCGGCGACACATCGCCGACAGATCGGCGATGGGCCCCCGGTATGAATCCGCACCTTCCTGGGCGGGTTGGGGCCACCGGACCCCTATCGGAGGTCAATGGGCGATTGGGGGTCGATGCATCCCCCCCTGTGCCTGTCCCCCCCCTGTCGTTGCCCCCGATTCGCACTCTCCTCGGCCTGGGCCCCCGAGAGAAGTTGTTGTGTATAC